CTCCGCAGAGACAGAGGGATGCACAGATCTCCACATGACAGCCTGTCTCATGCTGACTTTCACTTGCCAAACACACACACACCTTTCAGAAGTGCCAAAGAAGAAACACAAGTTTGCTGACACTGAAGCTGCATTTTTATTCACCATGAGCTCAGTCAAGCGCTGTCAAGTTTCTGTACAAACCTAAAAATCCCAGGTTTGCCTCTAAGGAATGAGCTCCATCTATCCTTAGATCCACATTCCAGGTGAAGACGAGATTAACACACAGACTCCAGAGACATCTGACATTTAAAACAGATTTTTTTTTATTTTGACAGTGATCAGTGACAGTGTCCTGATGAAAATATTGTTCAATATTAAACTTAAATTATTAGCTTTTGTCAATTATTCCAAGGACGTTCTTTCAAATTGAGTGGATAAGAGACACAGAGAGAAATTTGTTGAACCTTTACTAAATCAGTCAGACAGGCCCCCTCCCTCGGTTTTCAAGTCCCATTTAAAAACTCACTACTATTCAGTAGCTTTCAACACCAGAGGATCTGTGTTTTCATCCTGTATGCTCCACACTGGTTTGTCGTCATTATCTGCATCGTTTTTATGTCTATATTTCTGATTTACTTCATTTTGTATTTTGCTTTATGTGTTACCTGTTGTTCTGTCTGTACAGCACTTTGATTGGCCTTGTCGCTGTTTTAAGTGCTTTATAAATAAAATGGTATGGTATGGTAAATCAAGACACTGGAATAAATAAAAAAATAATTGCGAAGTGAGTGCTGATGGATTTTATTTTGTTGTTTTTGTCCTTTGACCTTAACTGCCACTCTTGTTGGAAATCACTCCTGAAACTTTTCTCCATCCACTCCATCCTGCCTGGACTCTGTTTTTCACCTCCACCACGTTCCCCATTTTCCTGGACAGTGGACCCCAAGTACTTGAAGTCCTGCACCTTTGTGACCTCTGCTCCTTGTAGCTTCACTGTTCCACCGGCCTCCTTCTCATTCATACATGTACTCTGTCTTACTACGACTGGCTTTCATACCTCTACTTTCAAGTACATACCTCCACCTCTCCAAGTTCTCTTCCAGCTGTTCCCTGTTCTCACCACAGATCACAATGTCATCTGCAAACATAATAGTCAACCACGGGGATTCCTGCCTGACCTCGTCTGTTAGTTGATCCATCACCAGAGCAAACAAGAAGGGGCTCAGAGCCGATCCTTGATGCACTCCCACCTCCACCTTGAAGCTATCTGTCACTCCTACAGCACATCTCACCATTGTCCTGCTGTCCTCATACATGTCCTGTACCAGTCTAACATACTTTTCTCTGCTGCTCCAGATTTCCTCATGCAATATCACACCTCCTCCCTTGGCACTCTGTCATATGCTTTTTATAAATCCAGAAAGACACAATGGAGTTCTTTCTGACCCTCTCTGTACTTCTCCATCAACATCCTTAAAGCACAGATGGCATCTGTGGTGCTCTTTCTTGGCATGAAACCAAACTGAACACCTCTGGTATTTTTTCACTCAAAAATACCATTGAATATTTGAGTCAAAAACCTCACTGCCATCTCCTAGATATTTTCAAACCTCCACTAGTATGTCATTAGGGCCTACTGCCTTCCCCTTCATTCTTTTCATAGCTTTCCAAACTTCACCCTCACTAATCTTTACCACTTCCTGGTCCAGTTTCTATGACCTCTAATCTTTAACAAGCCTAACCTGCTGCACATCCTTTCCAGCCTGATCCCGCTGTCTTGCCAATCATTACAAGTCCTCTCCCTTTTTAGTGTCCAGCCTCCCATACAACTCATCATACTTGTTTTACATAAATCAGCCAATATTCATTTTATTAGCATCCTTGTTTGTAGGATTCTTTTTTGTTAAATTTTATTGCCCCCTTTTTCTTATCACTTGCTATCTCCAAGTCTCTCTTAATTTTATCATATTTTTTTACATTTTATTTTTCCATTTTTTTTCTCTGCCGTTCTGTTTCCTCTCATTGTCTCTTTTTCATGTAGCACAGATGTTTTAGTCAAGCACCTCCTAGAATATTGCAGCAGCATTTCTGTGTTTTCTTCACTACTCTTTCTAACTATGTTGACTTACTAATAGTCTTGTCTGTTTTCAGATCATGGTTCAGCTTAGTTTTTCTGATGGAAACTGCAGCCTGTAATCACAAGTCTTCTCACAG